CACAAGATGTGGGACAACACAGAGGCTCTGGGGAAAGCGCGGGGTCTTCCTGCGGGGGAGGCGTGGAAGGTATGCGGTGGGGAGGGGGGGTGTACTCATAGTCGTGCATGCCGTATTATTTAGTCGTTAGACCATTGACCTCTCATCCCTACAAAGCCGGGACGGAGCACGCCGGGTTCTCACCGGGCCAGGCTCTCACCGGACCAGGCTCTCACGTGAGGTATTCGGCGAGTCGCATGAAGGGTGCGCTGCATCCTGCTAAAGGTGTTCTGCATCTTGTGCTTACTTCCTTACGTACGGATGGCAGCTGCGTATGACTTAATTTATTTTCTGGTACTTTCACTTCCAGAGACAGTTGTAAGCACTGCTCTGTGTAACTGCCTCGAGGGTGCTTGGCCAATTTAACACAACGTGGCGATTATCCCCTTCATGGGGGGGGGGTAATCCTCTTTAGCTTGGGTGCCCAATGTCGTTTACCCCCCGCTAGATGCTGCTGAACCCCCTCTGTTAACCATATTTTCTGAACGAACATATCGGATGGGGGTGTCCGATATCGTGCATGACAGATATGCATCGATGAAACACGAGACAGAACGGGTGGGGTCAATTTGAGCTGTGTGGACGGAGTTACGACAAGATTATAACTTCCTGGGATGCTGCGGAGCCACTGGTCCGATTCACCATCTGCGTGCTTGCTGGGTAGCTGTAGCCAATACCTACACGATGCAAAATGGATTGACGTCGATTGGAACTCTGTGGGCGGAGATCTTCCTGGCGGAGCCAATAAGAGGCTACTCCACCGGTGGAGCAACTTGGGTACACATCCCTCTCCCCGAGAGGATGGGTGCACTGCTGTCCGTAGCCCTGATACGCACCCACCCACACCAGCAATATTGTAGGCGGCCTTTCCTCTACATACAAGAAAAACCCTCTCTTGTGATGCCTGGACCGCCTGCACCGACAACGTTGTGAGGCGAGCATTCCTTGACAACAAAAAATAACGTTGCCATTTTCGACAGATTTCGCGAGGGCTTACCCTACCCTGGGGGGGTGGGGGCGACGTGGTCGTGAGCCCACCGAGCATACCCCCCCACATTCTTCCTGCGAGATACAACATCCCAGAGACCTGTGTCTTGAACGAGCCCGTGTCTTGAACGAGCTACATACATACACGCTTTCCGCCTATTCTTGCTCTGTTGGAGACGAACAACGACAACATCAACGGCACATGGGGGGACGACGGTTGGTGTGTCTGTCTCACTTGGATCCCTCCCTAGGCCGGCCTTCACCGTCTCCAGCGCAGCGTCCATCTCCCCCATTTCGGTCTGAGCCGTCGCCAATCTGACCACCGGCCATTAACCGAGTAAAAGATCCCACCAAACACGGATAACAAACCAGCAAAGATAAACATCGAGTCAGGCAAGACACGGCAGTGCGGGAGATGCCCTCAGGACACAGGGGTGTGTCCTAACCTCCTAACAAGAGGCGGGGGGGGGAAGGGGGGGGGGTACTCTCATGTTTCGCATGCCTTACCTGTTAGACCATTGACCACGCGTCCTCGAGAGGACGGAGCGTTGTTCCCACAAGACCGATCGGTAAATCGCTCC